ATTTAAGTGGTTTTTTGGACTGTGCGACAACCTAGAATATCTCAGATGCTTGTGTACAATGTGAAAACCTAGAAAATCTTAGTGACTTGTGAACAATATGACAACCTAGAATATCCTAGTGGCTTGTGTTCAATGTGACAACCTCCAGTATTTCGGTGGTTTGCATACAGCATTACGACCCCCAACACGTAAGTAGCTGATGTACAGTATGACAACTTCCACTCAAAGCCAATTATAGCGTTGGGTGGCTGAAGGGTCTAAACTGACTCAATCTAAATAGCTGTTGGTCTGGAGTTCAATCCCCACCTAAGCCTATATCCTAACCACCCAGTTGGATAGGACTCGTTAGACATGGACGGCAACTCATCTAAAGGAAGGAACACGCTGAATTAAAACCAGGAGTCATAATGATTAATAAACTGATCGTGGGCCCTCAGATATATTGAGAAAAATACGTAATTGGCAATTCTTGCCTTTTTTTAGATTAATTCCTATAGGTTGAACCGGATAGTCTTAAGTGGTGACCAAACTTTAAAAAGTGTAAATATGACGCTGCATGGGCTTATAAATATGACGATGAATGGGCTTATAAATATGACGCTGCATGGGCTTATAAATATGACGCTGCATGGGCTTATAAATATGACGCTACATGGGCTTATAAATATGACTCTGCATGGGCTATAAATATGACGCTGCATGGGCTTATAAATATGACACTGTATGGGCTTATAAATATGAGGCTGCATGGGCTTATAAATATGACGCTGCATGGGCTTATAAATATGACGCTACATGGGCTTATAAATATGATGCTGCATGGGCTTATAAATATGACGCTGCATGGGCTTATAAATATGACGCTGCATGGGCTTATAAATATGATTCTGCATGGGCTTATAAATAAGACGCTGCATTGGCTTATAAATATGACGCTGCATGGGCTTATAAATATGACTCTGCATGGGCTTATAAATATGACGATGCATGGGCTTATAAATATGACGCTGTATGGGCTTATAAATATGACGCTGCATGTGCTTATAAATATGACTCTGCATGTTTTATAAATATTACGCTGCATGGGCTTATAAATATGACGCTGTATGGGCTTATAAATATGACGCTGCATTGGCTTATAAATATGACGCTGCATGGGCTTATAAATATGACGCTGCATGGGCTTATATATATGACGCTGCATGGGCTTATAAATATGACGCTGCATGGGCTTATAAATATGACGCTGCATGGGCTTATAAATATGACGCTGCATGGGCTTATAAATATGACGCTGCATGGGTTTATAAATATGACGCTGCATGGGCTTATAAATATGACGCTGCATGGGCTTATAAATATGACGCTGCATGGGCTTATAAATATGACGCTGCATGGGCTTATAAATATGACGCTGCATGGGCTTATAAATATGACGCTGCATGGGCTTATAAATATGACGCTGCTTGGGCTTATAATTATGACGCTGCATGGGCTTATAAATATGACGCTGCATGGGTTTATAAATATGACGCTGCATGGGTTTATAAATATGACGCTGCATGGTCTTATAAATATGACGCTGCATGGGCTTATAAATATGACGCTGCATGGGCTTATAAATATGATGATGCATGGGCTTATAAATATGACGCTGCTTGGGTTTATAAATATGCCGCTACATGGGTTTATAAATATGACGCTGCATGGGTTTATAAATATGACGCTGCATGGGCTTATAAATATGACGCTGCATGCGCTTATAAATATGACGTGGCTTGGGCTTATAAATATGACGCTGCATGGGCTTATAAATATGACGCTGCATGGGTTTATAAATATGACGCTGCATGGGCTTATAAATATGACGCTGCATGGGCTTATAAATATGACGCTGCATGGGTTTATAAATATGACGCTGCATGGGCTTATAAATATGACGCTGCATGGGTTTATAAATGTGATGATGCACGGGTTTATAAATATGACGCTGCATTGGTTTATAAATATGACGCTGCATGGGCTTATAAATATGACGCTTCATGGGTTTATAAATATGACGCTGCATGGGCTTATAAATATGATGCTGCATGGGCTTATAAATATGACGCTGCATGGGCTTATAAATATGACGCTGCATTGGCTTATAAATATGACGCTGCATGGGTTTATAAATATGACGCTGCATGGGTTTATAAATATGACGCTGCATGGGCTTATAAATATGATGCTGCATGGGTTTATATATATGACGCTGCATGGGCTTATAAATATGATGCTGCATGGGTTTATAAATATGACGCTGCATGGGTTTATAAACTATTGTAAATATCAATCAAACTTGTTGATTAAGAGTAAGAGCAAAAAGTATGGTTCCATTCTTTTTTTTTGTTTGTTGTTGACCCAAATTCACCCTTCTGCAACTTAAGGCAAATTCAGCTCACTCAGTACACAGAGCACACACTCAGTACACAGAGGACACACTCAGTACATTAAATGCAATGGACGCCGCGAATAGCGATCATCAGAGGTATCACTGTGATGATTGAATTGGCCAAAGAATGGCGACATGGTCAAATGTAATCACAAGAAATGGGACGTGACCCCGGGTGGGACCAAAACACTGAAAATCAGTTATCCATTACACATGATCGATGGTGGCCCGCAGTTTTTGTCTGGTATCTGTTATTGATTTATCTAACCCTGATTTGAGATTATGAGTTGAGCAATGTTTTCCCTTTGTTTGTTGTCATGGTTACACACAAGAAATAAGTGCCTGACAGAGATGGGTTGGAGAGAAGACTTAGTTGACATGGTTACACACAAGAAATAAGTGCCTAACAGAGATGGGTTGGAGAGTAGACTTAGTTGACATGGCTACACACAAGAAATAAGTGCCTAACAGCGATGGGTTGGAGAGTAGACTTAGTTGTCATGGTTACACACAAGAAATAAGTGCCTGACAGAGATGGGTTGGAGAGTAGACTTAGTTGACATGGTTACACACAAGAAATATGTGCCTAACTGAGATGGGTTGGAGAGTAGACTTAGTTGACATGGTTACACACAAGAAATCAGTGCCTAACAGAGATGGGTTGGAGAGTAGACTTAGTTGACATGGTTACACACAAGAAATAAGTGCCTGACAGAGATGGGTTGGAGAGAAGACTTAGTTGACATGGTTACACACAAGAAATAAGTGTCTAACAGAGATGGGTTGGAGAGTAGACTTAGTTGACATGGTTACACACAAAAAATAAGTGCCTAGCAGAGATGGGGTGGACAGTAGAGACAAATACTTGAAGAATGGTTCACTTATAAATGTAGGGTAAATCCACTCCACTGGGAGAGTCAGAGGCGGCGCCATTAAGAGGAAATTATATTTTGTAATAGTATTATTTTTATAACACATTTCTTTTAATGTGTTGGCCTTAGATGAGTGTTAAATGTGGCGTGTGGGTGCGAAGGAGAGCAGTTTACCATGGGCGACACTTTATTTCTATATATGGAGGGGTCGAATCTCCGGCCAATTGCAGAGATTTTTTGTTTTTTTGTTGTTTTTTTCTTGGAAGGGGAAGGCCCCCCTGGGTGGCATTAGCCTTAGCTACGGCACCGGCTGGCCCTATTTGTTTGGGTTAGATAACACAGAAATCGACAATTTTAACTTGGCAAACCACTGAAGACATTGATTGGTCAAACAAGCCGCTTACATCAAGAACCGGAAGTCCACAGTCAGAAACGAACGTTCAGCTGTAAGAGCAACGAGCAGAACTAACAGATTGCGTGGCAAATACCCGCTTTGTCCACAAGCCACTTTACTGTTTGCACGGACTGTCAAAGAAAATGGATGACATGCTCACTTCTCCACTTTCGGGGGGAGTGCCCTAACGGTACATTTGTGTTTTCATACCAAGAGGGTGGAGACCGCGTGTGTCTTGTTTGTAATTCAACGGGTGGGTTGGTGTCTGGAATGGTACACACTTTCAGAAGAATTTAGGGCGCAATCTTTTAAATCGACTATTGAGGATACTCATTGGACAAGAAGGTGGGGTTTAGAGCGTCATAAAAAAAACTATTATTTTGAAAATAAATGTTAATATAAACGATTCTAACATGTGTATGCTTTTTCTTTCGTTGTCTTTTCTCACCTGACTCTAACTGTAATCGATTACACTGCAATTCTAGATGTGGTTTTGTAAAGATATATAAGAGTTGTATCGTAAAAAATTTAACTTTCAAATAACTTATCTTCTCAAGAGAATTTAATTTTAATTTTAGAACTTTTGAATACTTTTTAAGACACAAAATTAGCTCTTATATACCAGAAGACTCTATGTTTTTTTTGCGCCTCTATAACGTTTATTTTTAAAAAAAACTCCACTAACAAAGTCAATTTAAGAAATGTCCTCTAGCAAAGTCAATTGAAGAAATGTCCTCTATTAAAGTCAATCTAAGAAATGTCCTCTAGCAAAGTCAATTGAAGAAATGTCCTCTACTAAAGTCAATTGAAGAAATGTCCTCTAATAAACTTAATTTAAGAAATGTCCTCTAACAAAACTTAATTTAAGAAATGTCCTCTAATAAACTTAATTTAAAGAAATGTCCTATAATAAATTTAAATTAAAGAAATGTCCCATAATAAATTTAAATTAAAGAAATGTCCTCTTATAAACTTAATTTAAGAAATGTCCTCTAATAAACATAATTTAAGAAATGTCCTCTAATAAACTTAATTTAAGAAATGTCCTCTAATAAACATAATTTAAAAAATGTCCTCTAATAAACATAATTTAAGAAATGTCCTCTAATAAAGTCAATATAAGGTGAGTGAGAGCCAAGATAAGCTGAATACAGACGCCGTGTAGAGCAGCCCCTTATCAATCGATGTGCTCAATGGTTGGTGCGGAAATTTGATTCGCGGGACGATCAGCGACACCATCAGCGTCACTTTCATTTTGTTATTTTGTAATGTCAATGTTTCGGCTATGTGGTTTCAGAGAGGGACTTCGTGGATCAGGGTTTGAAGTTCCACCAGGCAGGTTTGTTGAGACGGAACAATCTTTGATTGTGAGTTCTCTGGTGACGCTTTTAACTCAATCATGCTTTAACACAATCTTTCTTAAAGTCAATAATTTTAAACTCAATCATTCTTAAACATTCTTTAACTCAATAATTTTAAACTCAATCATTCTTTAAATCAGTCACTATCTCAATGACTCTTAAACTCAAACGTTCACTCAATCATTCTCACTTGAAACGTTTCAGACTAGCCCACCATGGAAGGCCCAACCAAGAAAGCGGTTGTGTTTCTTTTGAGCGCCTTGATTGTCCTGGTCACGTGTAGGATTACAGCCAGCGGTCAGCTCTTTGTCCTCCAGGATGAACCCAGGAACTACTCATCAGCCTCCACCAAGTGTAAACTCTTGGGATATGACGGCCTGGCTTTGGTGGATTCAAACATATCGATGAATAACGCCCTTAGCTTGGTGAAAAACTTAGACAAGTGAGTGATTTGGTCTGATATCGATGAATAACGCCCTTAGTTTGGTGAAAAACTTAGACAAGTGAGTGATGTGGTCTGATATCGATGAATAACGCCCTTAGTTTGGTGAAAAACTTGGACAAGTGAGTGATGTGGTCTGATATCGATGAATAACGCCCTTAGTTTGGTGAAAAACTTGGACAAGTGAGTGATGTGGTCTGATATCGATGAATAATGCCCTTAGTTTGGTGAAAAACTTAGACAAGTGAGTGATGTGGTCTGATATCGATGAATAACGCCCTTAGCTTGGTGAAAAACTTAGACAAGTGAGTGATGTGGTGTGCCTATTCTCGATAGATCGGATGACATCATAAAATTGATGTTGTGTGTTTATACCAGCCAGAGCGTAAGAAATAGACACAAGTATAATTTTGAACTTTGCCATTGCCGTACACAATATTTAAAAAACAATTTTCACAGCATTTCTTTTTAAACTAACCCATTTCAGGGCAAACTCTGTTGTCTGAGTTCAAATTCTAGAGTTAATATTACAAAGTAAACTAGTTTGAGTTGTTTGTGGCTACCAGGACTGCACTAACATGAACAGGAACCAAGGTTTTCCAGCAATGCTTGATATGCTACGCCGTTATTAGGCCAGTAGACGTAGACATTGTAATGTTGTATTTCATGTACAAACTACTAAGGTCTTGGTTGTCTTATATAGGAACAACCAGTACTGGATTGGAATGCACTATTCTGACAGCAGAGGCAGACATGTTTGGGATTCAGGTAACACTGATTGTCACAGTCCGTGATGTTGTTCTGCTGTGTCATATTCTGACGTTTGTTATATTATGTGAGTGCATGATTGTATGTTGTCTGACGTTTGTCATATTATGTGAGTGCATGATTGTATGTTGTCTGACGTTTGTCATATTATGTGAGTGCATGATTGTATGTTGTCTGACGTTTGTCATATTATGTGACGGCATGATTGTATGTTGTCTTAACGGTACGTCCCCTTTAGACGCGAATTTATCTCAGCCACGCATGACGTATGACGCATGACGTTTACGCATGACATAAGACGTATGACGCATGACGTATGACGCAACACGCATGACCTCGGCTGAGTGCTAGCTAAAAATCCGGTGGTACAAAAGTTAGGTACATTTTCCTGAGTGCCAGTGAATCCTAGTTTTTGAGATACTAGTGAAATTATATTATCCTATTTATGGATACGGGATTATTATATTTTCGCAAGGATTTCTCCTCCTAAATTTTTTTTTAGATAGGATGTGTTGGCTTGTTGGACGAGTCTATTCTAATCTGAACAACAATGATTGTTTCTTATGCATTTGTCACTATCATGGATATATATATATATATATATATATATAATAGAAACGGTAGAAAAACAATAAATAATATGATCACTCCAGTTCATTATATATTTTTTAAACAACTTTTTCTGTTAATGAAAGGTGTGAAGTGTCATTTTATTTTCACGCAATTAAAATAAAAAAAAACAAAGAATTCAAACCTCTGTAATACACTAAAGCGCAACAATTTAAGCACCACTGATCTGGTCAAATCAAATATATAATATGTCTTATTTCAGGGACGGCAGTAACCTGGGCGTTGTGGAACAGTGGTGAACCGGACAATCTGCAAGAAGATAAATGTGTCCGAATCCGGACAACACAGAACTTGGGAACATGGACATGCGCAGAGAAGTTTATGGCGCTGTGCGGCTACTGTAAGAAAATACACGATCAGTTCGTTCATTTTACCTTTACGAATGTAACAAGGCTTGCACTAAAAAGTCGAATGGTGCCTCATTAAAAAATTAATCAATAAATGTTATTATAGTTATTTACACATTTCGCATCCTTACAAATAGTTTGACTAGTCCCCACACCCTGCAGATAGTTTGACTAGTCCCCACACCCTTACAAATAGTTTGACTAGTCCCCACACCCATGGGCGCCCGCAGGAAAATTTCTAGGTGGGGGGGGGGCTAAAAAAATCGATTAACTTTCCCTGTGGGGGGGCAGCAATTTTTTGTAATGTTTTAATATAGTTTTAATTTACTGTAGCGTATTTGTATGGTGAACGAACGGACAGGACATCAATTAGTTACTTTATTTTTATTTTCTCTTTACTTTAATTGGGGGGGCTAAAAAAATCGATTAACTTTCCCTGTGGGGGGGCAGCAATTTTTTGTAATGTTTTAATATAGTTTTAATTTACTGTAGCGTATTTGTATGGTGAACGAACGGACAGGACATCAGTTAGTTACTTTATCTTTATTTTCTCTTTACTTTAATAAAAAAAAAATCTATTTTTGTCTAAATTTTTTTATCCAATCAATCCAGGGGGGGGGGCAAGTGCCCCCCTTGCCCTTACCTGCCGGCGCCCATGCCAACACCCCTAAAATAGTTTTACTAGTCCTCACATCCCTACAAAGAGTTTAACTACTCCCCTCACCCTTAAAATAGTTTGACTAATCCTCAAACCTCTACAAATAGTTTTACTGGTCCTCACATCCCTAAAAATAGTTTGACTAGTTCTCAAACACCTGGAAATAGCTTGACTAGTCCTCAAACCACTATAAATAGTTTGACTAATCCTCAAACCTCTTCAAATAGTTTGACTAGTTCTCAAACCCCCCAAAAAATGTGACTAGTCCTCAAACGCGTACAAATAGTTGACTAGTCTTCACACACATACAAAGTTTACCTAGTTCTCAAACCACATTAAATAGTTTGACTAGTCCACACACCACTACAAATAGTTTGACTAGTCCTCACACCCCTACAATATTGGACTTGTCCTCACACCCCTACAAATAGTTTGACTAGTCCTCACACCCCTACAATATTGGACTTGTCCTCACACCCCTGCAAATAGTTTGACTCGTCCTTAAACCAATACAAATAATTTGACTAGTTCTCAAACCCCCTAAATTAGTTTGACTAATCCTCTTAGCTCCTCAAATAGTTTTACTAGTCCTCACACGTTTACAAATAGTTTGACTATTCTTCACACCCCAACAAATAGTTTGACTAATCCTCACACACTTACAAATAATTAGACTATTCTTCACACCGCTACAAATAGTTTAACTACTCCCCACACCCCTTAAAATAGTTTGACTAGTCTTCACACCCTGCAGATAGTTTGACTAGTCCTCACAACACTACAAATAGTTTGACTAGTCCTCACACCCCTACAATATTGGACTTGTCCTCACACCCCTACAAATAGTTTGACTAGTCCTCACACCCCTACAATATTGGACTTGTCCTCACACCCCTGCAAATAGTTTGACTCGTCCTTAAACCAATACAAATAATTTGACTAGTTCTCAAACCCCCTAAATTAGTTTGACTAATCCTCTTAGCTCCTCAAATAGTTTTACTAGTCCTCACACGTTTACAAATAGTTTGACTATTCTTCACACCCCAACAAATAGTTTGACTAATCCTCACACACTTACAAATAATTAGACTATTCTTCACACCGCTACAAATAGTTTAACTACTCCCCACACCCCTTAAAATAGTTTGACTAGTCTTCACACCCTGCAGATAGTTTGACTAGTCCTCACAACACTACAAATAGTTTGACTTGTCCTAACAACCCTGCAAATACTTTGAATAGTCCTCAAACAACTACAAATAGTTTGACTAGTCCTAACTTCCATACAAATAATTTGACTAGTCCTCAAACCCCTTCAAATTGTTTGACTAGTCCTCACACCTCTACAAATAATTTGACTAGTCATCACACCCCTACAAATAATTTGTCTAGTCCTCACACCCCTACAAATAATTTGACTAGTCCTCACACTCATACAAATAATTTGACTCGTCCTCACAACCTTACAAATAATATAACTCGTCCTCAAACCAATACAAATAATTTAACTAGTTCTCAAACCCCATAAAATAGTTTGACTAATCCTCACACCTCTACAAATAGTTTTACTAGTCCTCACACGTTTACAAATAGTTTGACTAGTCTTCACACCCATACAATTATTTTGACTAGTCTCCACGCCCCTACAAGTAGTTTGACTAGTCCTCACACCCTTACAAATACTTTGACTAGTTTTCACACTCTCTATAATAGTTTGACTAGTCTCATACCACTACAAGTAGTTTGGCTTGTCTTCACAACCTTACAAATAGTTTGACTAGTCCTCACACCCCTACAAATAGTTTGACTACTCCTCACACCCCTACAAATAATTTAACTACTCCCCACACCCCTTAAATAGTTTGACTAGTCTTAAAAACCCTGCAGATAATTTGACTAGTCCTCACACCCCTTCAAATAGTTTGACTAGTCCTCACATCCCTTCAAATATTTAGATTATTCCTCACACCCCTACAAATAATTTGACTAGTCCTCACATCCCTACAAATATTTTGACTAGTTCTTACACCCCTTCAAATAGTTTGACTAGTCCTATTACCCCTAAAAATAATTTGACTAGTCCTCACAACCCTACAAATAATTTGACTAGTCCTCACACCCCTACAAATAATTTGTCTAGTCCTCACACACATACAAATAATTCGACTAGTCCTCACACCCCTACAAATAATTTGACTAGTCCTCACACCCATACAAATAATTCGGCTAGTCCTCACACCCCTACAAATAAATTGACTACTCCTCACACCCCTAAAAATAATTTGACTAGTCCTCACACCCCTACAAATAATTTGACTAGTCCTCACACCCCTACAAATAATTTTACTAGTCCTTACACCCATACAAATAATGTGACTAGTCCTCACACCCATACAAATAATTTGACTAGTCCTCACATCCCTTCAAATAGTTTGACTACTCCTCACACTCCTACTGATAACGTTACTTTGAAGATGGTGTCGGTGGGTCGTCGAGTTTGCACTCATAATACCCTCGGCACTCCCCCAAACGAGCCAGGGCCGAAGCCCCAGACCATGCTGAAGCGCGCCACGAACTTCCCTCCTGGCCTGATGGACGTCCGGTAGACCGAGGGCGCTACGTTTAAAGCGTCCGTAGTCCACTCTTCTATGGGTCAGGACGGCTTTACTTCCTCTCCGGGGAATTGGTGCTGCGTTACCACTCCCCACCGCCCAGGGCCCTGTCCGGTCGCGACGTAGCGGGGACGAAACTGTCGCCTAGGGGCGGCTTTCTCAGGGCCGCGTCTTTTTAATCATTGACAAGGGTTTGGGTGGCCACCCATTGCCTCATACCCATCAACGGCAACAAGTAATCATGTTAGCGCTCAACTTCCGTTGCGTTGGAAGTCATGCGTTTGACTGGGATTTTTTAGCTTCAGAAGGAAACCCCCCCCCCTTCCCTACTAGTCGGTCAAGCCACGAAGAGGCAAAATCCCTTGTAACAACACTCGAGCAAGTGGTGCTGAGCAAAGACCTTACAGAGCTTGGTCTTTGCCAGACCGCCTAACACCCCTAAAAATATTTTGACTAGTCCTCAAACCCATACAAATTGTTTGATGAGCCCTCACACTCCTACAAATAATTTGACTAGTCCTCACACACTGACAATTATTTTGACTAGTCCTCACACTCCTACCCATACAATATAACAGCATATTTAATTTTCAGTTAAAAGGACTGAATAGTTTTCTTTACTGAAATACAAGAAGAAATAAAATAGTGAACTTTTGAAATAAGTTTGTGAGTTCTTATATCAAGTACAAATATTCAGCAATATATATAAATATATATATATATATATATATATATATATGACAGTTGGGAGCTTCAAGCAACTTGGAGTAATTGTCTTGGAAGAAGGCTTAAGTCCGACTTGATGTCCAGGATGGCACAGACCACAACACTGCTAAAGAGGCTTAAGAAAATATGGAATGACAAAAATATAGACCCCGGCACCAAAATCAGGCAGATGCACTCATGTTCCTCTCCATTGTCCTGTATGCCTGAGAGGCCTGTAGATTACTAGCAGAGCTTCAAAGAAAATTAAAGGCGATGGAGAGGAGATGTTTCAGAAGCATTCTTGTCATCTGCTAAAAACCATATCTCTAACGAACAGGTGAAAGAAAGGATTCGTCAGGCAAGTGGGCAATATAATGACCACCTGGTGACTGTAAAAAAAAAAAAAAAAAAAAAAAAAAAAAAAAAAAAAAAGGAAAGGAAAAGAGAAAAAAGAAAAAAGGAAAAAAAAAAAAAAAAAAAAAAAAAAAAAAAAAAAAAAAACCACCTGGGAAATGAAAAAAAAAAAAAAAAAAAAAAAAAAGCAAAAACTAGAATGGTTATGGCCACGTGACAAGAAAACAAGGGCTTGCCAAAGAAATCATCCAAAGAAATAATTATAAAAAAGTTGATTTATTTATATATCCATATGAGCGTCTATATTTAAACTATATCTAACACATCGATGAGGTCGGTTTCTGATAGATTTTATAATTAGTTTTTCGATTTCATGGGTATAATACTGTGAGAACTTAGGTATACGTTCAATTGTCACTGTCATTGTCACTTTTATTGTCACTTTCATTATTACTTTAATTTTTACTTTCATAGTAACTTTCATTGTCACTGTCATTGTCACTGTCATTGTCACTTTTATTGTCACTTTCATTGCCCTCTCACAGATAATTATACGACCACCCAATTCAACATTGTCAAAGGAAAGATGCCCCGGGATAATTCAGTAGGCGCTCTATGGTCTGGTCAGGTCCGCTCAGTGTTAGAGTGCGTCATGTATTGTATTAAAGATCCCACCTGCCAGTACAGCGGCTTTGACAGGCTACTCTCCAAGTGCACCACCTGGTCAGCGGGATTCTCCGTCAAGAGCTCCACCGACGACTCGCCAAGCGCAGATTTATTGATAAGGGATGGTTAGTTTTGTATCATAGGAATTGATTTTGTATCATAGCAACTGATTTTGTATCATAGCAACTGATTTTGTATCATCGAAACTAATTTTGTATCATAGCAACTGATTTTGTATCATAGCAACTGATTGTATATCCTAGCAACTGACTTTGTATCATAGCAAAAGATTTCTATCATAGCAAATGATTTTGTATCATAACAACTAAGTTATTTCAAATGTATGCCTTTTAAATGCTTTTTATTTATTTTAAATGCAATGAGGCTAGGTTTTAAATATATATATATATATATATATATATATATATATATATATATATATATTAATATATATATATATATATATTAAAAATTATTGATATGTATTATATATTTGACCCACTTCCCGTCATCCTATCGAGATGACACTTGGTTCATAAAACGCTGCAGATGTCAACATATTCTTTCAAATTTTCACCCCCAAAACTCATTTTTTTTCCTGCTTTTCAAGGAGAAAATGAAGCAAATATGGTGCAGTGATTTCATAACAATTGCAGTCATTGCTATTGCACATAATAATGCATAATAATGTTTTTAGAGGTTGTTTGAAATAGGTTTAGATCGGTTGGATTCCCCAACTTATTTATAAAGTAAATTATAACCTAATTGACAACCTAATTTTAGATATTTTCTTTCTTTCTGTTCTCTATTTACGTCAGGTCTCCTCTCATTCCCATTGGACTTCATGTGACATGCTGACATTCGCATTCCTTAATCTGTATAAATTTGAATTTATTCCATTGTAATAAAAATGAGATAGTTTATGAGATAGTTTATGAGATAGTTTATGAGATAGTTGTTGAGATAGTTGATGAGATAGTTAGTCGTTAAAATGTTGTTATTAAATTATTTGTTTGTTTATTCTCAGTTTGTATCCCCCCCCCCAAGTAATGACGTATATATACGCCCATGGAGTTTTTGGTGACATCACGAAATTCCCTACCATCAGATACGGTCTCCTCAGTACTTATTTTACTTAATCATCGATCCTCTCGTACCAAACTTCTCCCACTAACCATCGACCCTCACATACCTAGCTTCTCCCACAAAACATCATCCCTCTCATTCCAAACTTCTCCCATTTACTTTCTACCCCACGCTCCCTAACCTGAAAATGTTACAGCACGATTTCAACTGAAACAAGTAAAATTACTTCTGAATTTTCGTTTAAAACTCTTGCCATCGCTAACATACCTTTCAGTGGTGTTGAGGCCAATGTTATTTGTATTATTCTCAAAACTTAATGGATAGATCATAACTGTCACAAAATATGCCTCCATTTTAATGCTCTAAATTTCATAGCTTATTTGCTTCCTATTGAGGATCTATATTTAAAATGAAACCTATCACATCATGTTTTACGAAACCCATGATGGATACCTGGCCCATCATATAATATGGGGAATGATTTAATAAGTAGCACCTTTAGTTTGTTATTTTACTTTTTTTGTGTGGAGAATAAGCATCACTGACATCCTGCCCCGGGGAAAAATATATATATATTAAATCTCTGCATACGCCACCGGTGGTATGAAGTGACAAATCTGACCCACTTTTTAAACATCACGGCCGTGTACCTGTAATGAGTTGAATATGATTGTAATAAAAATAATACTGCCACTGCCATGGGAAATAATTTTTAAAAATAGAAATCTCCTGATTATTTTTGTTTGTTCAGGAAAGGCGTATTCTTTACCTTATTATTGGTTTTGTTATAACTGGACTAACGATCGATCCTCATCAGTTCAAGGGGTGACAGCCGTAATCATTATTTTGGAATTATGCCATCATGTCTGGAGATGAAATTAAAAGTTACAACACTGATTTTTTTCCAGCAAATATTTTTCTGGTGTTTCTGCAACAGATTCATCTTACCATCTTTGGATCCAATCCTACATCTCCAATAATTCTTTGAACAAAATTTAATTTCAGAACTGAAGTTGTGAAAAATTTGTGGACATGTGATTATTGCATTGCAAATTTTTTTGATCGCTCTAAATAACTGTTGCAACAGCAGAGGGGTCATTTAGCGACAGTAGAGAGGTCATTCAGCGATAGCAGAGAGGTCATTTATCGATCTCAAATTTATCAAAACGTTTAGGAAGTCAACTACGATGTACACGTATTCGGTGCGGGGGTTTGATTTTTTTCAAATGGCATTGATAAATTTGGGGGACAAGACATGATGAGTGTTTTTTATAGTATTTTATGGAGTTTCTTTTGCCTCAATAAAGTTCATTTTTTGTCAATAAAGTTATTGTTTTTGTCCCAATTAATAAATGTTCTTCTGTTTGAATCAAACTTTCTTTTTTCCAAATACACAAAAAGTTTTAAACAATTATTTTGAAACATGTGGGGGCCCAAATTTGACTGAAGGTGTGGTCCAGAAATCCTGTGCACGGTACTGGGTATAGAAAAAATTGAAAACCCATTTAAGTTTGCCAATTTTTGAGTTTGTTTAAAACTAATTTATTATAAAAGCACTTATATAAACTGATTTTGGTAAAACTTCTTCCTATGGGCGTCCTGAGGGGAACACTGTATGTATTGTAATAACCCAAGATCGCTTGCGTCACAACCTGTAAGCACCATGTAAAATGGTGCAGCTAGATGTGTACTGCAGAAAATAACTGCAGCTCCATTTAGACACGAGAGATCGTGCCTCTAGTCCATTACGTTGGCCGATCTGTAATTACCGTGACACATTCTGGTATCGTCTCACTGACGACTTCGTCTGGTTTACAAATACTCTGGAGCTACTCGGGGCGCATCTTGCTCTCAGCACAACCCTTCCGCCATGTCTGGTGGAGTTACTTGGAGCGCATATTGCTCTTAAGTTTACTGTTCCACAATGTCCAGTCAGTTTATTAAAAGCTTGAGGGCCAGTTGGCAGGTCATTACAGTGTTTCTCACACTCGTTGTTTTGTGCCCGCTGATATTCCCGTACTCAGAGAGGTCTCAGGTAAATATAATGTTTAAACTTCCCCATTCTCACGTTAAACCTCATAGGGTCTCTAGACTTTCTCGAACCCAATGTTGGATAATGTCTTTAGTCTTTGTTGTAGAAAGAAAGTCTTACTATTATTTGTAACCAACCCAACACAGGTAGTACCTTTGTCCAACCTCTAAGATTCGTTCAGAAAACGGTTCATTTTGTTTCTTTCGGTTTAAATTACTGTGCCAGATTTCAGTTGAAACAAAAGGTCAAATAAAACATCCTTCCTTTTTGTTCAATATATGTTCTTGTTTTTTACATAGTTAGTTGCGCAAAACGTGAACAAACAAAACACATTGAAAATAACCGTTAGATCATTTTAATCAATCACAAAGTTGAGAGAGAAAGCTTGCCTTTATGTCTACAAAGTTCTATGCATGGTGCGCTACTTCGACCATCTACTCATTCAAGGCCTTTATGTCTACAAAGTTCTATGCATGGAGCGTTACTTTGACCATCTACTCATTCAAGGCCTTTATGTCTACAAAGTTCTATGCATGGAGCGTTACTTTGACCATCTACTCATTCAAGGCCTTTATGTCTACAAAGTTCTATGCATGGTGCGCTACTTTGACCATCTACTCATTCAAGGCCTTTATGTCTACAAAGTTCTATGCATGGTGCGCTACTTCGACCATCTACTCATTCAAGGCCTTTATGTCTACAAAGTTCTATGCATGGAGCGTTACTTTGACCATCTACTCATTCAAGGCCTTTATGTCTACAAAGTTCTATGCATGGTGCGCTACTTTGACCATCTACTCATTCAAGGCCTTTATGTCTACAAAGTTCTATGCATGGTGCGCTACTTTGACCATCTACTCATTCAAGGCCTTTATGTCTACAAAGTTCTATGCATGGTGCGCTACTTTGACCATCTACTCATTCAAGGCCTTTATGTCTACAAAGTTCTATGCATGGTGCGCTACTTTGACCATCTACTCATTCAAGGCCTTTATGTCTACAAAGTTCTATGCATGGTGCGCTACTTTGACCATCTACTCATTCAAGGCCTTTATGTCTACAAAGTTCTATGCATGGTGCGCTACTTTGACCATCTACTCATTCAAGGCCTTTATGTCTACAAAGTTCTATGCATGGTGCGCTACTTTGACCATCTACTCATTCAAGGCCTTTATGTCTACAAAGTTCTATGCATGGTGCGCTACTTTGACCATCTACTCATTCAAGGCCTTTATGTCTACAAAGTTCTATGCATGGTGCGCTACTTTGACCATCTACTCATTCAAGGCCTTTATGTCTACAAAGTTCTATGCATGGTGCGCTACTTTGACCATCTACTCATTCAAGGCCTTTATGTCTACAAAGTTCTATGCATGGTGCGCTACTTTGACCATCTACTCATTCAAGGCCTTTATGTCTACAAAGTTCTATGCATGGTGCGCTACTTTGACCATCTACTCATTCAAGGCCTTTATGTCTACAAAGTTCTATGCATGGTGCGCTACTTTGACCATCTACTCATTCAAGGCCTTTATGTCTACAAAGTTCTATGCATGGTGCGCTACTTTGACCATCTACTCATTCAAGGCCTTTATGTCTACAAAGTTCTATGCATGGTGCGCTACTTTGACCATCTACTCATTCAAGGCCTTTATGTCTACAAAGTTCTATGCATGGTGCGCTACTTTGACCATCTACTCATTCAAGGCCTTTATGTCTACAAAGTTCTATGCATGGTGCGCTACTTTGACCATCTACTCATTCAAGGTTTTATGTCTACAAAGTTCTATGCATGGTACGCTACTTTGACCATCTACTCATTCAAGGCCTTTATGTCTACAAAGTTCTATGCATGGTGCGCTACTTTGACGATCTACTCATTCAAAGCCTTTATGTCTACAAAGTTCTATGCATGGTGCGCTACTTTGACCATCTACTCATTCAAGGCCTTTATGTCTACAAAGTTCTATGCATGGTGCGCTACTTTGACCATCTACTCATTCAAAGCCTTTATGTCTACAAAGTTCTATGCATGGTGCGCTACTTTGACCATCTACTCCTTCAAGGCCTTTATGTCTACAAAGTTCTATGCATGGAGCGTTACTTTGACCATCTACTTATTCAAGGCCTTTATGTCTACAAAGTTCTATGCATGGTGCGCTACTTTGACCATCTACTCATTCAAGGCCTTTATGTCTACAAAGTTCTATGCATGGAGCGTTACTTTGACCATCTACTTATTCAAAGCCTTCATATCTACAAAGTTCTATGCATGGAGCGTTACTTTGACCATCTACTCATTCAAGGCCTTTATGTGTACAAAGTTCTATGCATGGTGCGTTACTTTGACCATCTACTTATTCAAGGCCTTTATATCTACAAAGTTCTATGCATGGTGCGCTACTTTGACCATCTACTCATTCAAGGCCTTTATGTCTACAAAGTTCTATGCATGGTGCGTTACTTTGACCATCTACTCAGTCAAGGCCTTTATGTCTACAAAGTTCTATGCATGGAGCGTTACTTTGACCATCTACTTATTCAAGGCCTTTATATCTACAAAGTTCTATGCATGGAGCGTTACTTTGACCATCTACTTATTCAAGGCCTTTATGTCTACAAAGTTCTATGCATGGTGCGTTACTTTGACCATCTACTCATTCAAGGCCTTTATGTCTACAAAGTTCTATGCATGGTGCGTTACTTTGACCATCTACTCATTCAAGGCCTTTATGTCTACAAAGTTCTATGCATGGTGCGCTACTTTGACCATCTACTCATTCAAGGCCTTTATGTCTACAAAGTTCTATGCATGGAGCGTTACTTTGACCATCTACTTATTCAAGGCCTTTATGTCTACAAAGTTCTATGCATGGAGCGTTACTTTGACCATCTACTTATTCAAGTCCTTTATATCTACAAAGTTCTATGCATGGAGCGTTACTTTGACCATCTACTTATTCAAGGCCTTTATGTCTACAAAGTTCTATGCATGGAGCGTTACTTTGACCATCTACTCATTCAAGGCCTTTATGTCTACAAAGTTCTATGCATGGTGCGTTACTTTGACCATCTACTTATTCAAGGCCTTTATATCTACAAATTTCTATGCATGGAGCGTTACTTTGACCATCTACTTATTCAAGGCCTTTATATCTACAAAGTTCTATGCATGGAGCGTTACTTTGACCATCTACTTATTCAAGGCCTTTATGTCTACAAAGTTCTATGCATGGAGCGTTACTTCGACCATCTACTTATTCAAGTTTTTTTTTTTTTTTTAGTTTTTTTTTAATTATATTTCGTCCGTAATTTATATCTGCTCTCTCATATGAATAAAAATTATCAAAAACCAAGCAAATATAAAATGTTTATAAATATTATTCTTACTTCTGGAATCTTGTTGAAAGAATGCTGAAGAACACGAAGTATGAACCATTTGAAAGAAGTTTTAGACAAGATGGTAATTTAAAAAAAAAAAAGCAGCAATTTGATTAACTTAGAATATATTTTAAAATTTAGTTTGTACAAATTTTGTTTGATTAATTTTGTGAATAATTTTGTGCTAAATGTTCTGATTGATGTTGTGATAATTTTTGATGAAAAAATGGTGTTAATAATTTTGTGAATAGTGTTTTAATTATTGTTGTGATTAATGTAACAACAAATATTGCGATTAATATGGAAGGTTATTTGTGGTTGACAGTTGAAATCTTTATTGGCCAGGAGTCCAAATGTGTCTACGTCATACTTCTGATGACCATCTTTTGGATCACGGAAGCGTTTCCTCTCCCAGTGACCTCTCTGATCCCACTGGCGTTGTGTCCACTGTTGGGTATAGCGCCTTCGTCTAAGCTGGTGCGTGTCTTTCTGGAGGTAAACATGTCTTCACATGTTGGTGGTCACGCGGGGTAAAGTGGTCGTTGGTGTATATGTGGGTAGTGGGGGGGGGGGTCGGGGTTGGGTTGCCAAGTTGAAATGTCATGACAATGGATGTGGTATCAGTTTATATCAAGCTCTTACCTTCGATATTACGAATTTTTCGGAGTCCATCTTAAAATTGGCACCTTATCCAAATCCAATTAAAAGTGCAACCATGTGTTTGGTACAGTTGTATAACTCAAACGATGTACTTGCCAACTTGCCACAGGGGTTCTACTCGAGTGACATTCTATTGGTATGTGTCCCCTGATAACCAAATGCCTTAATTATCTTGTAAACATAATTGTAATGAGCAGCCATTTTAAATTAACTAATGCACTGTTAGCTAACGGGAAACAAGGGATATTGTTGTTCTAAATAAGTTTTCAACTTCCATTCCATTGAAGCAATGCTAATATATGTGTGTGTGTGTGGGGGGGGGGAGGGAGGGGAGGGTTGTACACTTGCGTCCTGCTTTTTATCTAAGTCCAAGGTAAATCCCTGTAAAATACGTTTAAATTATTTAGATAAATATTTATATTTAGTAATGTTGATACTTTAAAAGCTTCGATTTATTTCGGTAGCTATCGTTAAAACCCACATTATATCCGAATATGCCCTTTATCGGTACGCACCATTATTCGGGGCACAATGTATCTGATAACGGTACTACTTTTTATGGACACTATAAGCGCCATTGACTTTTTAGAGTCAAGATTTAAATTTTAAAAAAAGATTATAAATAATTATTGGCTTGTTGAGTTATTATTGACAGACCCCCGCAAATCTCACGAATAATAATGACCAATGATTAGTGTTGAATACAAAGTTCAAGTGGTAAAGTGATAAAATCGATTTTCAGACATAAACATTGAGATCATAAGTAGGTTTCAATTATTTCAGGACGTTTCCTTCCTGCTGATTGGCGGGCTGTTTGTGGCCATCGCCATTGAAGAATGCAAGCTACACAAGCGATTTGCTTTGAGGATTCTCATGTTTATCGGCGTCAAGCCACGGAGGTGAGAATCTTATCATCGTAGAAATCAACTGGAGTTGAAACGGGGATATCAAGTTTTGCGGAGCTACGCGGCTGATCAAAACTATACGTATACATTGAGTTAGAGCCAAACTGGCTCAGCGTAACTGTAGAGAATAAATCATAAAATAAAAATATTACAATTGCATGTCATTTAAGAGATGGCTTTCTGATTGCCTCATGGTGAGCTCAAGCCGTGAAATTGATGTTTACCTCTTACAAACATTGTTTACTTACCACTCACAAGCATTGTTTACTTACCACTTACAAACATTGCGTATTTTACAACTTACAAACATTGGTTCGCTTTCAACTTGCAAACATTGTTTACTTGCCACTTATAAAAATTGATTACTTACCTCTTACTAACATTGTTTCATTTTCACCACACAAAAAAATTAAACTTTGCTTATCCGCCAATGGAGAGACAAATTTTGCAACATCCGTGAAAATCAATCGGTCATGGAACGAAATTTTACTCATTGAATTCAAAAAGTATTAATAATATTTTCAAAATATAGTATTGACTAGTCATTAAACTGATCCCCCCCCCCAAACCCCCTAGCTAGCTCCCCCAAACTCCAACCAAGCTCCCCAAAACCCCCTAGCAAGCTCCCCCAAACCCCATAGCAAGTTTTTTTTTTTTTTTTTTTAGTTTTTTTTTAATTATATTTCGTCCGTAATTTATATCTGCTCTCTCATATGAATAAAAATTATCAAAAACCAAGCAAATATAAAATGTTTATAAATATTATTCTTACTTCTGGAATCTTGTTGAAAGAATGCTGAAGAACACGAAGTATGAACCATTTGAAAGAAGTTTTAGACAAGATGGTAATTTAAAAAAAAAAAAGCAGCAATTTGATTAACTTAGAATATATTTTAAAATTTAGTTTGTACAAATTTTGTTTGATTAATTTTGTGAATAATTTTGTGCTAAATGTTCTGATTGATGTTGTGATAATTTTTGATGAAAAAATGGTGTTAATAATTTTGTGAATAGTGTTTTAATTATTGTTGTGATTAATGTAACAACAAATATTGCGATTAATATGGAAGGTTATTTGTGGTTGACAGTTGAAATCTTTATTGGCCAGGAGTCCAAATGTGTCTACGTCATACTTCTGATGACCATCTTTTGGATCACGGAAGCGTTTCCTCTCCCAGTGACCTCTCTGATCCCACTGGCGTTGTGTCCACTGTTGGGTATAGCGCCTTCGTCTAAGCTGGTGCGTGTCTTTCTGGAGGTAAACATGTCTTCACATGTTGGTGGTCACGCGGGGTAAAGTGGTCGTTGGTGTATATGTGGGTAGTGGGGGGGGGGTCGGGGTTGGGTTGCCAAGTTGAAATGTCATGACAATGGATGTGGTATCAGTTTATATCAAGCTCTTACCTTCGATATTACGAATTTTTCGGAGTCCATCTTAAAATTGGCACCTTATCCAAATCCAATTAAAAGTGCAACCATGTGTTTGGTACAGTTGTATAACTCAAACGATGTACTTGCCAACTTGCCACAGGGGTTCTACTCGAGTGACATTCTATTGGTATGTGTCCCCTGATAACCAAATGCCTTAATTATCTTGTAAACATAATTGTAATGAGCAGCCATTTTAAATTAACTAATGCACTGTTAGCTAACGGGAAACAAGGGATATTGTTGTTCTAAATAAGTTTTCAACTTCCATTCCATTGAAGCAATGCTAATATATGTGTGTGTGTGGGGGGGGGGGGGGGAGGGGGGGGTTGTACACTTGCGTCCTGCTTTTTATCTAAGTCCAAGGTAAATCCCTGTAAAATACGTTTAAATTATTTAGATAAATATTTATATTTAGTAATGTTGATACTTTAAAAGCTTCGATTTATTTCGGTAGCTATCGTTAAAACCCACATTATATCCGAATATGCCCTTTATCGGTACGCACCATTATTCGGGGCACAATGTATCTGATAACGGTACTACTTTTTATGGACACTATAAGCGCCATTGACTTTTTAGAGTCAAGATTTAAATTTTAAAAAAAGATTATAAATAATTATTGGCTTGTTGAGTTATTATTGACAGACCCCCGCAAATCTCACGAATAATAATGACCAATGATTAGTGTTGAATACAAAGTTCAAGTGGTAAAGTGATAAAATCGATTTTCAGACATAAACATTGAGATCATAAGTAGGTTTCAATTATTTCAGGACGTTTCCTTCCTGCTGATTGGCGGGCTGTTTGTGGCCATCGCCATTGAAGAATGCAAGCTACACAAGCGATTTGCTTTGAGGATTCTCATGTTTATCGGCGTCAAGCCACGGAGGTGAGAATCTTATCATCGTAGAAATCAACTGGAGTTGAAACGGGGATATCAAGTTTTGCGGAGCTACGCGGCTGATCAAAACTATACGTATACATTGAGTTAGAGCCAAACTGGCTCAGCGTAACTGTAGAGAATAAATCATAAAATAAAAATATTACAATTGCATGTCATTTAAGAGATGGCTTTCTGATTGCCTCATGGTGAGCTCAAGCCGTGAAATTGATGTTTACCTCTTACAAACATTGTTTACTTACCACTCACAAGCATTGTTTACTTACCACTTACAAACATTGCGTATTTTACAACTTACAAACATTGGTTCGCTTTCAACTTGCAAACATTGTTTACTTGCCACTTATAAAAATTGATTACTTACCTCTTACTAACATTGTTTCATTTTCACCACACAAAAAAATTAAACTTTGCTTATCCGCCAATGGAGAGACAAATTTTGCAACATCCGTGAAAATCAATCGGTCATGGAACGAAATTTTACTCATTGAATTCAAAAAGTATTAATAATATTTTCAAAATATAGTATTGACTAGTCATTAAACTGATCCCCCCCCCCAAACCCCCTAGCTAGCTCCCCCAAACTCCAACCAAGCTCCCCAAAACCCCCTAGCAAGCTCCCCCAAACCCCATAGCAAGCTCCCCCACACCCCCCACCCCGCCCCCCCCCCCCCCCC